AACAAAAGTTAATTCTCGGTTTTAAAAATCTTCCAAAAATAAAACATACTTTTCTGAAACTTTATTTGAAGAATATTACCAGATTTAAAGATTAGTCGAATTTGAAAAAAATATTTACTTTAAACTTAAAATAACAGAGAAATTGATTTTTAAAAATCAAAGAGCAGAAGGGATTATGTCCTTGTCACTTAACAAGTGCTGATAAATGTGTCAACATCTTTGTTAGGGAGAGTTTATCTGTTAAAACAATTTAAGAAGATAATGGGTGAGCACCGTTTTTATATAATTTTTCAGTAATCTTAATTTAAGGGATGTTGACTTTTAATTTATTATCGTCATCACTCTTATTTTCTCATAATCTTGTGTATAGTCAACCATACTTTCATATAGAGACACATTATGTAATATTTTATATACATAAAAAAAAAAAAAACAATTAAAAATTATTTTAAAAATCTTGGTGCAAAATACTTTGTATTAGATTTTTAATTAATAAATATAGTTTTTATTTAATCACCTAACACAAAGTAGTCCAGAATTTTAAACAATTTATATATAAATTATTATAATTAAAAAAAAAAAAAAAATGAAAACAAATCCTGTAAAAAGTTCATTATCAAAAAAAAAAAAAAAAAAAATTTTCTTAAGACAATAGTGTTCTTAATAAATCTTATTTATAAAAGCAATTGAAAGATTTTCTAATTAAATTATATAGTTTTATTGCATTTTTTATTTTAGGATTCAGAGTAGCTTGAAAATAAAAAAAAAAGCACTAAACACTAATTGTAAATATTACATAGACCACTGACATAAAAAAAGATTTTTAACCAAAATTTTGAATGTGCTATAAATGATTAAAAAATTAAAAAAATACTTGGGTCTTTCCTCTTAATAATAACAAAATTTTTGAGAATAAAACTTTTTATTAAGGCTTTTTTTTTCATCATGCTATGCTGTTTTCTCGGCAAACAAATGGAAGTATATTTGCAAAAAGATTTTTCTAGGAAAAGTACACATTACAAGTTGTAAATAGACACTGTATATTAATAGAGGTTTCTGCATGCATTATATATAGTGGTATTGAAAACAAGACATTTTTTCAAATTATTTATGGTAAAAATTGAAACAAAAAATACAACTACCACCATTGCCTCACTATCCATCAATTCTATGAAATTGAATGTTAAATGTTTCAGAAAGGGAAACATGTAAAAAACTCTTTAGTATGACTTGTAAATAAGATAGATAGATAGAGACAACCTAACAATGTTACTCAGCATGTGTTTCATTTCTCTTTCAGATATATGAAGAGCATTAACATGGCAGTTTCCAATCTGACAGAGGAAATAAAAAGGCACACTGTGCCCTTTCTATTAAGCAGCAACGACAGCAACTTAGAGATGGCCACTTTCAAGAAACTGACTAAGTGAATAGGAGTATCAACTGATGGATTTGTGCAGACTATGATGATGCACACCAATTTCACATTGTCTCTGATGACTTTAGGGATCATGAGCAACAAGGGCCATGTCATGTCACCCACCCTATTTCTTTCCACAGAATATCAAGGTTAGTTAATGCTACCATCAACCTGGGTCAAGAGGCTGGACCAGAAAAAGCAGTACATGTTCCAACATGACTAGTCCACCATAGCCCACACAATCTAAGAGTGGCTAACCAAGAATGTTCATCCTGAAATATGGTCTCTAAGTTGTTCCTATTTGAATCCCTTTTAGATGACTACATCTGAGTCATTATCAAAAAGGTAATCCAATAGCAGCCCCAGAATATCAAATATTTATTGTAGGCCACCATCATGGATACGGTTGTATGCCTGAATGAATGAAATCCATCCGATTCAGGCATGTAGTCACTTCTGGGCTGGGGGCAGTTTTATTCAATAGTCTTTTTGTTTTTCTAAATTTACTGTGTACAAGGATTTAAAAATAGAAAAGAAAAAAAAAAGGCAATGTTTCATTTCAAAATAATATTCACAGGCAAAGAGAGAGATCACAAATTGAATAAAACAAATAAAATTTCTTAAAAATATAAAATTGACAGATTTTTTTTTTGTTTTTTAAACTCATTTTACAGTTCAAAAAAAGTGTAAGGAGGGCTAACATATGCCAGGAATGTTAAGCCAAGTGATAAGGTCAAAGCTGGGAGAAAAAAAAAAAAAAAAAGGTGAATTTTAAAGCTCTGCGGAAAATTAGATTAGAAATAAGCAATTGGAAAAGGTTATGTTATTTTAATCTTCACAGGTTATTTTTATTAAAAACCTTACCACATTTCTAGATGAAAAATAAAGAACTTTTATTTATAGCAAAAATAGCTACAACTTCTACCTATGCACAGTCCTATTCCAACCATAAATCCTCCCTACTCATCATAAATGTGGAAATAATGAAAAATATATTGCCATGAACAAATAATAAATTTATGGTTTTTTGGCTTGATGGATGTGTTTTTAATACATCCATATATTTTATATAAAAATATAGCTGTGATTATTCTCCTAATTCAAAAAGGTCACATTTTTTACAGTTCTTTCCAAATAATATTAATGTAGATTTAATGGGTATTTTTTTTAATTAAAGAAATATGCTTAAAACCTGCTAAAGCTTAATGTCAGGCCACTTCCTAATTCATATAATGTTTATTAAAAGTGACAGGATGATTTACATATGGACCAGTACTTCTACCTAGGATCAGAATATCTACACCCTGAAATGTTATACACATGTATGTACATGTGTACATATTTTTAATATTTATTCATACATAATCCTGTTATTTTCATGGTACTATGTAAGTAAGTAAATTGTTTAGTCATACCATTATAAATGACTACAAAGTAATTTTTACAATTGTTTTGTACTAAGAAACCAATAAAAACTTTGTTGTTGTGCATTTTCTTGTTTATGTTTAATACTTCCTGAATACTGAGCTAAACAAACATTCTATTCACTATAACAATATAGAAATTTAAGAACTTTCTGCAGATGATTGCATCATTTGTCTTGGTAAGCTGAGAATGAAGGAGCATGGGTTGATTAAAATCCTTTCAAATCGTGAGAGGAAAAGAGGAAAAGAGAAATTGAAAAAAAAGAGGAGGAATACAATGTGATGCAGAGAAGTGAAGAGACTGATGAACTGAAAATTGTATTGGGAAAAAAAAAGTGCCAAAGAAAGATTAAATAATGTAGCTGACCAAATTATGACTTAGGGAGGAGGGATCACAGATGTTTTCTTTTAAAGAAAAACTATCTTATTACTATAAACATTATTCTTAGTGGGTACATGTTTGAGTTGCTATCCCCGTTTTTTTTTGTTTTTGTTTTTTTTCTTAAACACTAAAATTAATAACAGGCCTAAAATAAAAAGTCCTACTAAAGAAAAATTGTGCCTCCAATATGAATCAAACCTGAATCCCTGCCCCATCAGGTAAACCACTTTTTGAGCCAAAGTGTACCTCTACTAGTTCAGCCATGCAGGCCAGCCTGACAGGACAAGGTTTGATTTATATAATTAACAAAAGCATATTTTTCATTGGGATTTCTACAAATCTAAATCTGTTAGCTTCAGTTTTGTACCCAAAACACAAATAAGTGTTTGTTTTTTTTTCCTAAAAGGATTTTTTTATCTGCCATTATTTATTACTATAAACATTCTTTTTAGTGGTTACAGGTAAGTGGGTGGGTGTATGGTTGTGAGATCTTCAATTATACAAGGTGTATTTTTTTTTTTTTTGTAAAGGTTTTAATTACCCCATGCCCAAACAAAAAGAATAAAGAAATTACTGCTTAAATTTCTATTTTTGCTGTGTTATAGTAACATCCCCACAAACAGAAATCAGATCATTATAAATTATGATATCTAAACAAAAGCAAGAAAAACTATAGAAAAATAAAAAAAAAAAAAAAAAAAAAAAAAATCAGCAATTACATCTGGAGGTATGACAAGAAAAATAAAAGTGACAAACTAAAATCTAATCTTGAAAGGAAGCAGATTAAAAATTAAAACAGATAAAGTATTCATTGATTTTGCTGATTTATTTATTTCCCTTTTTATCAAATTTTATTAATGATTTCTTTCAGGTTATTCATTATTCTAAGAATATATACATTTTTTTCTGTTTTAGGACATCAAAATCCAAAGGAAGCAATATATCTGTTTTGTAATTCTTCCAAAAAAAAAAAAAAAAAAAAAAACTTTTTTGTGTACTTTCAGGAACATATGAGGATATTTTTTTCACTTTTACAAGTGAAAATATATGAAATTATTAAATGATGATATAAAAAGTAGAATATAAAATTAAAATGAACATATCTAAGAATGGAACTTAATTAATTATTAGCAATGCTAGATTAATGAGAATGGAGACTAAAATCTTTTGAAGAGAAAACAAAAACTGGTTTCTAACTAGAGCTGTACCTAGGGATTAGCCTATAAGTCAAAGTCTTCCTACTATAAAGAAGTCTTTATAAAATACTTTGTAAAATAAATAACTTTCTATCTAGAAAAAAAAAAAAAAAATTTTTTTTCAGAAACTTGATGATATAATCTTCCTAAACCCAGAAAGAAAATAAGATAAAAGTGCTATCAATTGTGAAGTTCTGTAAAATTTAAAATTGTATTTTTTTTAAAAATGAGATCTTGGTGTTTTTTTTTTTTTTTTTTTTTTTTTTTTTTTTTAAAGGAGACTTACAAAGATCTGTTTATATGGAACCAAAAGGTTTAGCGGTAATTCAAATGATCCAAATCCTGAAACAGTCTTCTGCAGAAATGCAAGTTTATCCATAAAAAAATCAATTAACAGCTTTAGAACCACATCTTTTCAAGAAAAAAAAAATGAGAGCAATGGGTGCTTATAAGGGAAGAGAGAAGAAAAAATGACAAGAGGAAGAAGATAGGCAGAAAAAAAAAGTGTCGGGCTGGGGTGGAGATAGAAATAAATAAAATAAAAAATATGGTGGGTGGAGTATAAAAAACTTAATTACCTGTGAAAATTCTTTATTTAGAATCATCTCCTCTTCTAGAGTGGTGACATTGTCATGTAAGTGAGCCTGTGTGTGAGTCCAAGTGTGACCGAACCACCAAAACTGGTTAGCTTCAGCTGTAAAGCCGCACAGTGAAAGGAAGAGAGAGAGAAAAAAAAAACTCTTTATGCTTTAGTTGAAATTTTTTGATAGCAGGTGGTTGAATCGGTTCTCACACAGGAGACACACTCCGAGATAGCTTAAATTCTTTAGTGGCAAAAAAAAAAAAAAAAAAGAAATTTTGCATATGTAAATCAACTGTTGAAAAATATACCCAAATACATTTTTTTTTTTTTTTTATTATCATTACTATTTATAAACATATTTGCTTATTTTCTGATTTTTTTTTAATTATTTTGATAAAAAAGAAAAATTTTCAACTAAATAGTTCAAAGATAATTTTATTAGTTTTTCTCAATAAAATGATAGTTTAAGATATTTTACCTTCAAAATCAAATTCTTAGTAAATGAGTTTACCGTAGTTTTATTTCAAGTTAATGCTCAATATTTATAGTATTGAAAAATTTAAAAATACAAATATTTTATTTAATAACCTTAAACTTTACTGTGTAATAAATAAATATCAAATATAATGTGGGCACAGGAGAAGGTCAAATTTTTATTAAAAAATGTCTGATAAGAGAAGTGCTTCCAACTGCTCCCTAAGAAAGCAATAATTGTTGCAAAAGTGTTTACACTGCCACAAATTGATCCATTCTATTTTTATAAGTCATTCAATTCTTACTTTTTATAATAAAGACTTTTTAGATGATCAGTGTGGGGGGGTGGGATGTGCACACACAAAGTACATTTAACCTAACAAAGTCAACAAAACTTCTACAATCTTTGTTATTAGCTACTATTGCTACTTTGTCTCTTGTTCCATTTAAATGAATTCTTTGGCCTTGCCACTAGAATAACATAGCAATAATATATAATGTAATTTGGCATAATGCCTCTTTACAAGAAATGAATAGTATTTCAATTCTAAAGATTGTAATAAATAAAATGTGTGTTGATAAAAATTAGTGCATGTATTTATGAGTGTATTTGTAGTCATTCATACATGATAAAATTCAATAGAAAACATCTTTTGATGACAAGCCATTCTGTAAATCTAAGTTTGATATTTTTTTAGTAAATACACTACATAAGTAGTTTGAAAATTTTTAGATTATTAAAATTAAAAAATTATTCCTAGAATTTATATTTTCAGATTAGTTTATAATTAATAAGATTTGTCATCTAACCTCATTGTAAAAATGTAACAATTTGAGGGAGGAATGGGAGTGTGTCTAAAAGGCAAAGCAAATACAATCTTCACAAATGCTGATTCCCCACTTCCAATATGACAACATTCAAACAATGACCATATCTACCAACTCATGTGGAATTCAGCAATTGTGAAACATGCAATAACATCCAGTACATTTTCAAAAGCAAATGGAAGTACAGGTGAAGCAAGGGTGTATATATATATATATATATATATATATATATATATATTATATAAAACAAGCAATAATTTTTGTGTATCATCATTCAGGATTAATTAAAACAAAAAGATAAAAATAAAAGGTTTTATTGATAACAAGCACCTCTAATTATCCTTTCAGGTCCATATACATTTAACATATTAAATTGACTATGTTAACTTTTCATAATCAGTTAATATAAACGAAATAAAATTGTAATTTCTCAATAAAAGCTGCTTTTGAAAACATTTTAAATGATAAAAGAAATAGATTTAAAAATAGTTTCTTCATTTCAAATAAAAAAATTTAAAAAAAATGAACTCAGGTAGAGATAATATTATACCTAACAAGTTTTTGAAAATGAATTTAAAAAACAAAAGTGAATAATTCATTTGGCAAGAATGAAGTTGTAAAAGATTACTTGAAATTTAATTGTTGATTTTACTAAAATAACCAATGATTCTATTTAAACTTACTTTACAGACACAAAAGTTAATTAAATACAGTAATTCATGAAAATTTAAATTGAACTACACAAGTGATTTGTGTAAATATTCAAATCATTTCCATTTAAGATAGCAGATGTACAAGTTGAATTTGCATCCTGTTTTTGGGTGTTTTTTTTTACCCAGTAAATTAAAAAATATTACCAGTATATTAGTAAATAAAATATCAATGATGTGAAAATAAGCAATTAAATAAAATGTAACCTTATTAGCCAACCTGACACAAGATTCAAATGCTAGTAAATTAATATCAACAAGACATAAATTGTCAGCATTAGCAAATGTTCATTGTTAGTAAGGTGAACAAAATAGATTTCCTAATAATGAACTGTTTTACATGTAGTTATTTAATGTCATTTTTCTTTTTTAATAACCTTAAAGGTCTTGATATTTCAGAAATATTATAGCTCCAATAAAACTAATGCCCACTATGGTCTCCTGGTTGACACTTCAAGAAATAATATATACAAACTTCATAGAAAAAACTTCATAGAAAAAACAAGCTTAAGAACTATTTTAAAATCAAAAATAGGTCTGTTATGGTACATTAAAGTCCTATTGAAAATTTTTATACACACTTTTGTTAAGAATCAATGTATGCAAACTTCTCAAAGAAGTACAAACTAATTTCAACTATCATGAAATCATGACCCTTTCAAAATAAACAGGTTAGAAAAATATGATTCTTTATAGTTGTAAAGATGAGACAGCCACCAAGAATTAATAAAGTTTTCAAATACCTCTAGCTGAAACATTTTTTCTAAACAATGAAAACCTTTCCAAAATATCTTAATTCAGATGAGAAAAATATGCCAAACTTGGTTAAAATGAGTCCAAGCATATTTTGTGGTAATCAATATTACCAGCTACAAAAATATCCAAGGAAGTAATAATTGTTCTAGTTTCATAGAATTTTGGTTATGCAATAATTTCAATGAAGAAAATTTAATTAAAATAAAATATTTATTTTTTGTTCTTCATGTACAAAACAAAAATAAATCAATGTATTTGCATTATAATTAAAATAATTTGAAATTATTTTTGACTCAATGACTAACAGCTAAATAAAACCCAGATTCATAGCTCATTTCCAAAATTGCAAACAGCAAAAGTAATCCAAGAAAACGGAAAAAAATCTTAAGTAAATCATATTAAACATATTTTAAAATCCCAAGCAATTTCATTAATTTAGTTTTTCTTCTACCATATTTCATATTCCTAACATTGTAAAGTATAAGAGCATGATGGTATACTCTAAGACATTTTTGTGCTTATATATATATATATATATATATATATATATATATATATATATATACACACACGTGTGAATAGAGAAAAAAAAATATTCGAATTAAATATCTTTTCCCTGCTTGCTTACAACAAAATATATTTAAATAACTAAAAATGGGTTCAAGTGTATCAAGAAAGTGTTCAGTCAAGATACAGCCAATCATAGATTTTATTAGAGGACATGCATGTATAAAACCAGATCCAAATTTTGCTGGTACTAAACTAATACCCGAGGGTAATTTAGAGGTTTTTTTTTTTTTATAGGGAACTTGGTCAAATTATAACTCGCATTCAAAAATTAATCCTAGCATTTTAGAAACAAATATTTCATTAATTTTTCCAAACACACAATATATACAGACATACCAAGTCATAAGATAGGTGCCTAGTATCATATTGACCCCTCCTCACTCTAGCCCAGTGAAGTACAGTAACTCAATATGACATCAATCCCACAAGTGGTCAGAAGATCTCTGCAGTGATATTAAGCTATACAATCTCAATAAACGTTGACATTTTGCTGATATTTATAGGCACAGCATCTTGAATGCAAATATATTCTCCACCAAATCCCATAAATACTCCAATGTGCTCATGTTAGTCAAATGTGATGGCAATGACATTTGTCAGAAACATCCAGAATATTCCTGAAACTAATTTTGAATAACTCCTTGTCATTGTTCAGATACACTGGGAGTAAATGGTCATGAAGCAGTGCAACATATTGATGACCAGTCAATGAGAGGTTTAAGCAAAATAATAAATCCAACCTATGCTACATGAACCCAGTCCACATTATGGAATCACCACCTAGGCCCTCTACACCACACCCAAACCCTATCATCAGCCTGAAACAATTATAATTATGGCTCATTAGACGATAGCATAGGTTGCTAGTTCAATTAGTGATGTCACAAGCCAAGATGAAAGACTGTCATGGTATTAACAGTGGCACATAGGGCTTTTACTCCTCTATTCCAGAGAAGCTAAAGAATACTGAACCAACTAGCTGCATATGCATCTCATACTTCCTGCACTGAATTTGCATGGGATTTGAAAGAGTTTTACTAATTTCAATCACAATCATTAAAGACTGCTTTGCTATAGCAAAGCAATACAAAGCCTAATGTGAATTATCAAATTTTGAATATGCAATATGGATTGGACATTCATTTCTGAACTTGTAGAGACATCTGACATCTCATGTTAGATGTATACTGATAATATCTAATGGAAATTATGACTACCCACTATGCACCGACCACAATGTTGACACCATAGATCAAGTGATGTTAAATTTTCACAAAATTTCAAAAATTGATGTCCAATCCATGTTATCTTGCCTGTTCAAAATCTAATAATTCACAATGTTTTTCCATAAGCAGCCTAGCCAGTATTCACATTGACTCACCAGATATCAGAGCAAAAATTATATAGGTCTGGCCATTTCCATCACATCAAAATAGGGTGGTGTTATTTTTACATACTTCTAATGTTTGCTTTAGCTGTATTTCTTGTATAAAATTTCGATTTTATGTCTGACATAATTCTCTATAGCATTTCAATTGTCATTACTTTGAAAATGAAAAAAAAAAAAAAAAAAAAGACATGCCTTTTGACTGAAATAGTTACATTTCCTACCAAGGTTAGTTTTTTTTAAGCCCAGATGGTGGAAGGTAAAAAAAAAAAAAAATCTATTACAAATGTTGATTCTCCAAGTAAGCAGACCCTCCCCATATGAAATATAGGTGGAACACAATCTTCCTCCTTTTATTCTCCACATTTTCAAGCTAATCTTAGTAAATAAGAAATGGAGAAAAAAAGAAGTACATGGTTTATCAAGTGCACTAGTTTTC